GTACATTAAATTAAAGAAATATGTATTTTTTGTCTTGTTTTCCAAATTTTTTATTTTATTTTTTTTCTCTTGCCCCATTGGCAAGGTTTCCCCCTGATTCTCTCTGCTTTTTCTTATCATTACACAGTTACACTTTTTTTGTTTTATTTATTTATTTTTTATTTTTTTGCTTTACAACCAATTTTTCAGGTCTTCTAAGGAACTGGTCAAGGAAGGAAAGTACTGCCAAGGGGAAATTGTTGGGAATGTGAGTCCATGAATTCAAATAGCCTTGAAATAGTTTTAGACAGCTTTGAACTCAGCAAATATGATGGAAACAAGTTCCTTCTGTAGAGACAATGTGGAACAGGGATAGATGGAGTTCCAAAAACACTATTACAAAATCATAAACAAGTTGTACTTGTTGAGCTGTACTGAACAGCCAATAATCTAAAACACTGTATCAAAACCCATTCGTTTCCAGTGAAGGGCCTCCAGCGAGGTATTCAACTACTCTAATAAGCTATGAGCTAAACTATGGAGCACTTTTGAAGGTTATGTTTTGAATTTTCCTGAAGCTCCTGTGCCAAAAGCATCTGAAGAAAGAATCTGAAAATACTTTTAAACAGCTGAAATATGATTTGGACTGTAGGGAATATGTTACAAATAATTATACACCCAAAGCCGACTGGACAATATTATCAGTGCCATTTTGAATTAGGAGGGTGTACATTCTCTGACAAATTATGACATTCAGCTGCTTTCTGTGATTAATTACATTTGATTCTTTATCTCTGTGGTTACTTCACAAGATATCTCTAACTAGATGTATTCTAATGTTGAGGAATTTTCTGTCCTGTGAAATGAGATAACCCCTGTTAAACTCTAAACAAATATCAATCTCAATTGTATGTGACAGCACCAGTGTGTTTATTATCAGGGCCAAATTATTTTCTTTAATGTGTTTAAGTAGCCAACTTTTTGCTTTTACTTTACTACATTCCAAAACGTAATATCTTGCTTTTATATGTGACTACATTTCATTTAAAAAAAGAAAAAAATTGTTCAATGTTATTTTGAAATGAAGAAATCACCTGCACCGTGACATGATAACAATGTCCTATTCATATGCAAATCATTCTTTTGGATGATTCTTTTTGATGTACCAATTGAATTGGTTCACATTGAAAGCAATAAACATTAGCAAACTGGACCGATCGCATTGCGAAATGTAAACTTGCAGTTGCAACATATAAGCTCGCTTTTCTGAAAAAAGGTCCAGATTGCGAAATGTAAGCTCAGAATTCTGAGGGTGGAAAAAAAGCAAAAATTGTGAAATGTTAATTTACAGTTGCAATATACACTCATAGTTCTGAGAAAAAAAGTCAGATTTGCAAGATGTGAACTTGCAAGTGCAACATAAACTCGCAATTCGAAGAAAAAAGTCAGAATTGCGAAACTTAAACTTGCAAGTGCAACATAAACTTGCAATTCTAAGAAAAAAATTCCAAATTGTGAAATGTAAGCTCAGAATTCTGAGGAAAAAAAAGTAAAAATTGTGAGATGTTAATTTACAATAGCAATATAAACTCGTAGTTCTGAGAAAAAAAAATTCTGACTTGCGAGATATAAACTCTGAATTCTGAGAAAAACAAAATGGCGAAATGTAAGCTTGAAATTTTGAAAAAGAGTCAGAATTGCGAAATGTAAACTTTATCTTGCAATTCTGAGGAAAAAGGCAGAATTGCAATATGTAAACTCGCAATTGTGACCTATAAACTCGCAATTCTCAAACAAGTTCCAAATTGCGAAATGTAAGCTCAGAATTCTAAGAAAAAAAGTAAAAATTGTGAGATGTTAATTTACAATTGCAATATAAATTCGCAGTTCTGAGAAAAAAAGTCAGACTTGCGAGATATAAACTCTGAGAAAAAATTTTCAAGATTTTGCAGTTGCAACATAAACTTGCAATTCTGAAAAAAGGCCCAAATTGCAAAATGTAATCTCAGAATTCTGAGAAAAGAGTAAAGATGGTGAGATGTTAACTCACAATTGCGATATAAACTCGCAGTTCTGAGAAAAAAGTCAGAATTGCGAAATGTAAATTCACAACTACCTTTTTTATTTATTTATTTTTATAATTTGTGGTGGAAACAAGCTTCCATAGTAAATCCAGTACAAGGCGCAACTGTTTACGCTCATTACACAAAAAGCTTGAAAGCTGACGTCTAGTTAGTGATTTATAATAATTCATAATAAGGTCAGACCTTTTTAAGCTCTATCCTGTCTGTTACTAGATCTCCAGAAGCCTGTTTTTAAACTAAAGTATTATTTGCAACAGGATGCAGCACATCAAATTGCAATAACTAAATACTAAGTACTGCGTTTGATACCAAAGTGCATACAAATACAATACTTTGTATGTTTTAAATCAAATTTAAAAGCACTTGGTACTTTTACTGGAGAAACTTTTCATCAAGGCATCTGTATTGTAATTCAAGTCTATGATTTGTATATTTCATCTACCAAAGCTAGTAATTCCCTTCCGAACCATGGGATTGTAATGAATATCCTTGATTGTCTAAAACCATGAGGCATTTTTACTGAAGATATCGGTTTCACTGCAAACTTACTGTATAGGACCATATATTTTTGTCATAGGGGACATATAAAGAGTATTTCAGAAGACCATGAAAGCCCTTTGTCAACAGCAGATAGTTTTCCTATGAGACGAGGGGAGTAAATAATGACATAATAATGGCATAATTTCCATTTTTAGGTGAACTACTTCTTTAAGGCACTGTCATTGTGGTTCTGTCATATCCCACAGTCCTCCAGCTCCCCCTCTCTCTCACTCATCTTTCTACCTCAGGTTTCTTATTTCTCTAGAGCTTGCTCCCACTCCATGTTCACATGTGGAGCTGATTAATGAAATTAATACATTGCTATGCTCTGGTTTGGAGATTTCTGGCAAGGCCACTGTCTGTTTGTTTCCAGACGTCGATCCCCTAGTGGCCACTTTAAACTGAAGTTCTGTTCGTGTAATAGAGCAGAATTCAATGTGCTGGTGAAATATATCTCTGAAAATTTGACTGGAGCCCCAAACTCGATTCAGGCACCAGAGAGCCAGACGCAGTTCAAACAAGTGACCTTACAGTGTCAACAACATTTGTTGGTTATTTGTTAGTTAGCGGATGGTTATTTATCCAAAGGGAATTTCAGTACACTTGTTACACGGACAGTCTGCCTGGAGCGAGCTGGGGTTAACGGCCTCGCTCTAGGGAACAGCGGTGCGGACACAATTCGGAAGCTATTCCAGCATTATTGACAAGTTAAACAGGGCTCTGTCTCTGCTTTAAAGGAACACCCACAATCAGAAATTCTGTCATATTAATGCATGTCGTTCCAAACCAATGTGAGTTTCTTTCTTCAATGGAACATGAAAGTTGGATTTTTTTTAGTCTGATTCGTGAACTGAAATGTTATAGTTTGACATGGATTGATTCCGTTTCAGAATTTTGCTATGCACACTGAAGAATTTGACTTGAAATCAAAACTAACCCTATTAAAGAAGAAAATAATTGTAGCCAAATATGTTTCAGGAGTTGGTAGTCCATTTGAAACTCACATTCTGGTAACGCCCGCTTTTCACATCCAATCAGTTCCTGATGGACACAAACCAGCCTGCCCATTTTTTCTTGATGAATATTCTGATTCACTGTGAAATACAGCAAATTATTGTAAATATAATTTTTGTTGGCAACAAATGTGAAAAAAACTGGTGGAGAATGTAGACTTTATAAAAATATATATTTTTAAGTTCTCTTTCTGCATGGCTTGTACAGTAATATTCTGCATTTAATTATGCATATTATTTACCTCAAAATACGTGCATACTTTTATTCAGCAAGGATGCAATCAAAGAATCAAAGAATTCAGACCAAAGAATTTATCAAAGAATTCAGAAAAAAAAATACATCACGGTTTCCAAATCAATAAATACACGGTTTCCAATATATAAATGTAATCATGAGTAATCATGTGGGACTGAAGTCTGGAGTAATGATGCTGAAAATTCAGCTTTTCATCACATGAATAAATTGCATTTTGCAATATATTACAATAGAAAAAAAGCTATTTTAAATTGTAAAATATTTCACAATATTACAGTTTTACTGTATCAACAAATGCAGCCTTGGTAATCATAAGGGATTTCCTTCAGCCATGTTAAAATATCTTAATTATTCCTAACCTTTCATAATTAACTTTTACTTTATGGACCATAGTAGAAAAACGCTCAATTTCCCAGAATGCTCCAATTTTCCTCATACAGTAGATAACGACAGTATTATTTAATACAGGTATGGCGATCCTTTTGTGGTGCATTTGACAAATATAAATTTTAAGTTTTGATGATGCAAATTTTTTTTTCAACATTGAACAACTACACTAGGGAATAAATATGCATAATTATTTAGAATAAATGACAGTCGTTTATGTTTTGTTGCAAAGTTTGCATTGAACTAATGACATTCCTGTTGTGTGACTGTGTTGAGTTGTAGTTCAATAAATTAATCTTCCTGTCATTCAAATTCATGAATGTCGCAGAACCCCGATGCCGCAAACTTCAATAGTCATTTTTGTTTGTTTGTATTGAAATATTAGAACATGAGAAATTCATTATCATTGATTTACTCCACCAGTCCAACCAAAATAAAAGTAAGACCTGCTTTAGAGTCTTGATTCCTCACAAAATCCTTGCTGTGTGCACATTTTTTGGAAGGGCAGGCATAAACACTATAAAGCTGCTTAATAAAACATTTACATCATTAAAAGAAAAGCTATCTAAATAAATCTGAAGTGCATTTCAGAAGGATAGCATGAAGGGCTGGACCATTGTCACAGAATTTTAACCTAATTATCGTAAGCCTCTACCCCCTCTAAATATTAGGATCTGAGCAATCAATCACGAAACGCTTATTAGCCTAGAGCCCATCCTGCCTTTACTCTTTTGCAATTGCGTGGAATTTCTGCTGGAAGAGTTTGCCGCAACATTCACGTCCCGGGCAGAATTGTTTGCAGTAAGTTTCCCACACCACAAAATGCTGCAAGATGTTGGAAATGTCATCACCTTTTCAAGTTCCTCTCCCACAACCTACTTTTTCAAGCAGCCTCCCATGTGTAACTAATTAGCTGCAAGACTTGGGCTAATTTTATTTTACCCAATTGGTGTCCGAAGCTTCTTTTTTTTCCCATCGTGCTATAAAGTTGTCATGCTCTGTGTGGATCTCCAAAGCTTCACTGTGAACTGTGCATACTGTACTGCTGTAGGAGAAGGAAAATGGCTTTTTGGCTTCTATAACCAACTCATTTTTTTAAGTCTCGGTAGAGGAAACATGCAAACATCTGAGCTTTAACCAGATCTGAGGAAGCGGTTCTTCGAGAAAAGAGCTGTCGAGGGCCTCAGGTAAGGCTTTTGCTGTACTTCCATTAGTGCTGATCTTGCACTAACACCTTATTCCTCTTTATCTGTCAGAACCGCCAGATGTTGGATGCCAATGCGCAGCATGTACGGGGAGCTCGCTTTGCGTCTGTTCAGCAACATGTTTGACAGGGTGAATACAACCCTGTCAAGTGTCCTGAAACTGCCTAGTAAATGGTAAAGCTCCAACACTGTATGAAGCCGTCAATTCATTCGTCTCGTACTTCCCTGTTTAACTATTTCGAAACTAAAACAGCCCCTGTGGGCGAAGAACACGTGTTGTTTACTAAAAAGTGACTGTGATGTAAAATGTTGGTCAACATTCAAGGTAGGTTTTGGCATTTTGTTTAGTAATCAAACCCAGTTAAGAGGCCAGTTAAAAGACCAACATATACTAGCTCGTGCTAGCTAAATGAAGCAAGAATCCATTCAAAATCTAGTTTAGAACAAAGCTATAAGTTATAAGCTGTAGTTATCAATGTAGTTTTTGCATTCATGTTCATATCATATGTTTTTGAAAACTATTCTTATAATAGTCTAAAGTTAGTGACTCTAAAAATGTAATGTGGTGTAACCAGCAAGTAAAGAGTAATAACATATTTTCCTCAGGCCTTGTGTATACATAACTAGGCAGACAGACAGATTTAACATTTACATTGTCATTTAGCAGACGCTTTTACAAATATTTTCTAACAAATATGATTGAAATATATAATTGAATTATGAATTATTTAATAATAAAATGTCATGTGGTGCGACCTCTCCAAAACCACATATATATTACAATCTGAAATCATTAAGTATCTTAAAAATATTATATTAAAAAAATTACTTTTTATGACAAGGCATGGCTTGCTGTTGGTTGTAAAATGTCATGTGGTGCGATTCCCCAAAATCTAACGATTTGAAAATAAATATAACTTGATGTAAAACTTTATTTTATTATTTATTATTTTATTTTTGCCTCTAATAAATAATAATAAAAGATTATGGCACATTTTTGTGAGGCATGTCTTCTTTATTTTAATGTCAGGACAGTTGTACTACTCTGACAGTTTTGATTTTATGCTCCCAAATAAATATTATTTAAGAAATAAAGGGGGGGTGAACATAAATTAAAATATGAAAAACAAGCCAATCACATAAGATGTGTATTAAAACCCTTTATATATATATATATATATATTAGGGATGCTCCGATCAGGATTTTGCAGCCGATACTGAGTACCGAGTTCTTGTCATGGTGATCAGCCGATACCGATGCCGATTCTGATGCTTCAAGCTTTATAGACCAGGGATGTCAAACTCAGTTCCTGGAGGGCCGGAGCCCTGCAGAGTTTAGATGCAACCCTAATTAAACACACCTGATCCAGCTAATCAAGTCCTTTAGGCTTATTTGAAAACGACATGGTTTGAGTGTTGGAACTAAACTCTGCAGGGCTGCGGCCCATCAGGAACTGAGTTTGACACCCCTGATATAGACGGTTTCATCGGGCGCACGTGCCTGGCCCAAAGTTAACTTCCAGTCTGTGTTTGTTTATCAGTCTGGCTATGGCGCCGGCTACAAACGAAGTTAAAGTTAAGGTGATGTGTAGACTGATGTTGGGCTCAGGTGGTTGTGCTGTGGGATGTGTTTCCCATACATTTATTTATTTGTGGCGCTCGCCACAATATCAAAACAAGACTGTACTGCACGTTTAAAAATCAAAACGAGGTGTGGGTGTTTTTATATCACTTCTATTCACTATTTCTGAAGGAAGACTATCTTTAGAAAATGTTCGATGTCATTTTCATCTCATCTTGCATGTTATATGCCTGATAAAGCAGCGTTTGTGAGTTCAGCGCTGCTTTGTGTACAGCCGTTACTGGGGAAACCTCTGTTTCT